AAGAAAAGAATGACCAACCACTGTTTGAATTCCCCATGGAGCACCGGGCTGTTACACACAACCGCCAGTTCACCTCTGCAGATGCATCCTCCGTTGCTTCTTCTCCCCAGGGAAAGCCAAGCTCTCACCATGCTGCTGCCCCACTTTCTGACTCCTCCCCAAATCCATTCTCTCACCAGGCCAGTTTTGTTTAAAGATCCACCCTGTTCTCAGCTTCCTCAGCCTCCGTGGTCTACAAGTCACTACCCTTGCTGTGAGGTGTGTGGCCACGACAGTGACAAGCATATCACCCTCCTGGTTTGGGGAGGGAACAGGAAATGTGGCTCAATTAGCCTGATCAGAATGACTCTTCCCGAGGCATTCAGAGTCTGGAATGCTGGTAGCCACTCAGAGACTGGGAAAACACTGAGCTACGAATGAGGTCAACAGGTGACGACCAGCAGAGTGAAGGGACAGAGGACTCATCTGTGATGATGGCATTATATGAATTTGCCTCAAGCCAGGCTAGGGCTAGACTGATCCTGGCTCTGCCTTTTGAGTTCTGTTCAAGGTGCAGGTTTCTGTGACTTGCAAGTCCAGTGACTCAGAGTGCTCTCCTGCTTCTGCTCTGGGACATGTGAATGTGACATCTCAGGGCATGGTTACCTCCTTCCTCAGAACATGTCACTGCAGTGTGTCCTCCATGGTTTCCACATCAGCTTCCCCCACTAGCCCCATGTTCAAGCCCTTGATGTGACAGTTGAGTTATTTATCAACTCTCGCCCAAATGACTCTTTGAATGAACAAATGAATTATAAACAAATAACCAATATCAAGAGACAAGAAGATACCGAAGAGAGAAAGAAAATGGTTAAATATATGCTTGAACCAATGAAAAATTGAATGTATCATATTCAGCACTGGCCAAGTACATTTTTAAAATGTCATTATTTTAATTATGGAAATGGCCTCTCAAAAAGTAAAAAATAAATAAAGCGTGCCCTTGCTCCCAGATGGAATAAGCTCATTTAGCTGTGTTACATCAGAATAATTTCACAAAATCTGGTATTCAAAGTGTATTAGGTCAGGTTGGCTGATTTTTCCATAATTATTTTAAATGTTCATCTACAGAATTTTATTCCAAACCCAAACAGCCCCATGGCATTTAATGAGCAGGCTCCAAGGCTCAGGCCCAGGACTGGCTGCCAGCTTCAATGAGACACTGGGCCATTGCTAGATGTCTACGGAAGACATCCAGAGCAAGCCTTCGTTACCATGGTAACGTGCACAGGCAAGAAAAGGGCCGTTGTCATATATGAAATGAGGATTATGTACTGGAAGCCCTGACGAGCCACTAAGGACATAATAAGAGGTCTCCTCATTTGGAGTGGCTGCACACCCTCCAGAGCTGAACCCTGAGCTGTCAAAACATGCAGGAAGGAAGTATACATTACTCCATCAGTCCTGGCCATAGCCTAAGAAAAAAATGAGGTCCTCACCATCTCCCACTATTTTCTAACTCTGTGCATGTCTAGACATATAACACATATGGACCAGAACAGAAACCCATCCAAATATTCAGAACAAGCAATATAAAGCTCAATAGGGGCACACACTCAACGTAGAGTCCACACTTTGGGTTTGGAATACTTATTGGGAAAACTCTAAAGGCCAATGAGATGGTTCATCAGGTTAAGGCACCTGCTGCTGAGCCCGATGACCTGAATTTGATCCTGGGGCTCACACAGAAGGAGAGCTCCAATCCCTGTAAGTGTACCCTGATCTCCACGTGCATGCCATGGCATGCACCCCACCCTAAAGTAAATAAAATGAAAACAAAACTCTAGGGGCAGCGGGGCAAAGCTTGGTCAGTAAAGTGTTTGCCACACAAGTGTGAAGACCTGAGTTTGATCACCAGAACCCATATAGAAAGCCTGATATGGTAGCATGTGCTTGTTATCTTAGCATACAGAAGGATAAGAGGCTCACTGGCCAGTCAGACTAGCTCCAGTGCGAGACTCTGCCTCCAAAAAAAAAAAAAAAAAAAAAAAAAAAAAAAAAAAAAAAGACACCTGCAGAACAATGAAATTAGGCTCATAGCTCTCATTCATCCTGTACAAAAATCAATTCAAGAGCCGGGCGGTGGTGGTGCACGCCTTTAATCCCAGCACTCAGGAGGCAGAGGCAGGCAGACCTCTGTGAGTTCAAGGCCAGCCTGGGCTACAGAGTGAGTTCCAGGAAAGGCTCAAAGCTACACAGAGAAACCCTGTCTCAAAAAACAAACAAACAAACAAACAAACAAACAAAAAATCAATTCAAGCTGGATCAGATGTTAATTTAAAACCTGAAGCATAGAAACTCTAGAAGGAGAACACATCAGGACACAGTTCTAGGCAACAGATCTTGGAACTGAAGCCGAATAGCACAGGAAACCACTCCAAGCATTGACAAAGAGACTGACACCAATGGAATAAAAAAGCTTCTGTATAGCAACATGTCTGCCTCCCCCCCGCTCGCCCTCCCCCCCCCCCCCCCCGCCCCCGTCTCTCTCCCCCCACAACACAACAGCCAACCAAACCTTCACAGATGAAGTGGACAGAACTGGAGACACTCTGTGCCAGCCATGCCTCAGACAAGGATTAGTATCTATCTAGAATATATAAAGAACTGAAAAAGTTAAACACCAGAGAAGCGGAGTTGCCAAACAATAAACGGGACAATGACCTGAAGAGGACAATGTTCAAAAGAAGAAATACAAACAGCCAATCGGTGTTTGAAATAGTGTCCACAACTTTTCTCCACTAGGGAAATACAAACTAACACTACTCTGACAGGACCGGAGAGATGTCCCAGCAGCCGAGAGCCTAGTGAGGGACGAGTGAGGATGGAATAAAAGAGGTTTTAAGGGAGGGAGATGGTGAATACAAATAGTGCAAAGTAAAGAGGGCACAGTAGGAAAGGAAGGCCGGGAGATGGGGGACGGTGAGGAGGAGGAACCGACCAAAATGAAGTATGTATCAAAATGCCATACGGAAACCTACTGGAAGCTAGTTCTTTTGAATATAAAATGTCATGTAAGCACATATTTTCCCATGTTTATTCATTGCCAATACTTTATTGACATTATAATTATTTCTCCCTTTCCTTATAAGCTAACTTTAAAACTTACAAATTAATTTTAAAAACCATGGTGGATGGTGCCTGAGGAACAAGATCCAAGGTAGTCCTCTGGCTTCCACATGCATGTGCATATATGTGCATACATGTGCATGCACACCTGTACACACACATGGAGCTGCAGACACATGGACATGCACACACACACACACACACACACACACACACACACATACACACGAAACTCTGTAGCCAATGAAACAGAAACAAAAATAAGTGGGGCAGCATCAAACTCCAAAGGCTTTGCACAGCAAAGGGAAAGATCAACAGAGCGAAGAGGCCATCCATGGAGTGAGTGAAGCTCACCAGCTATACTACTGAGAAGGGCTAATTTCCAAAACCAGTGAGCAACTCCTACTATTCAATAGCCAAACCAAATCCCCAAAGCCCCAAACTAATGGGCCCATTTAAAACTGGGTTAAGGGTTTGAACAGACATCTCTCCAAAGACGTACACATCGGGAGCAGTTACAGCCAACCCTTCAGCATCAGCCATCATCACAGAAATGCAAATCACAGCCCGGGTGGGCGATCCCCTCACAGCTGTTAGAGAAGTGTTAGTGTGGTGAGCAGAGCACACTGTTGCCAGGAGGCACATGGTGCAGTTGCCATGGAACTGAGTACAGAGGCTTCTCAAATGAAAAGAGACCCGGGGAAGCAGCTCCGTGCTAAAGCCCTTGTCTAGCACACCTGGAACTCTGGGTCCCACCCCCAGCATTAAAAATATGTAAATAAAACCACCATCTGATCCAGCGGTCTCAGGCTTGGGTGTTTATCCAACAGGATTAAAATCAGGATCTGAGGTCTGTTCCTTGCAGCATTATCCCCAGAGATAAGCCTTTCAAACAACCCAAACGCCAACACAATGTGTAAATAGGATGGAGCGTTTACATACAACAGAAAGGAATATCACTGAGCTTTTACAGATGGAAATTCTGCAGCATGTGTAAAACATGAGGACATGATGCTTATCACTCAGCCACAACCCTGAGTCAACTTGTAACTTCCTTTAGGAGCCTCTATACTGTTTCCCACAGGGATGACATCATCATCTCTTCCTGGTGTCCAGAGTTCCAGTTTCTCCAGACCTTATCAACAGTGTTGTTGTTTCTTTTAAAATAGCCATTCTATGATTCGTCTAAAATAATCAGATTCATAAATCAAAGAATGGAATGGTGATTGCCTAAGTTTGGGGAAGAGGAGGATGGGTACCAACAGGCATAAGGCTTTCGTTAGGTAAGAAATGGTCAAGTTCTGAAGTCGGCTATAGAGCATCACACCTGGTGTCACTGTGCACTTGACATTTGTTAAGAGGGTAGATCTCACGTGACATGTTCTTAGCATGTGAAGAAATCAGTTAAAAACTCTGCAACGACTTTTTACTGACAGACTTCCAGTGCACTCACTAGCCACTAGATTTCAACAGAAAGTAAACTTTTTTTTTTTTTTCGGTTTTTCGAGACAGGGTTTCTCTGTGTAGCTTTGCTCCTTTCCTGGATCTCACTCTGTAGACCAGGCTGGCCTCGAACTCAAAGAGATCTGTCTGACTCTGCCTCCTGAAAGCTGGGATTAAAGGCATGCATCACCACCGCCCCGCAAAAGTAAACTTTTGAATATTCCTTCTTAACTTTGGCGGTGACAGGGTTTTCTAAAACATGTTTGCTTTCCTGTTCGGAAATTTGAGTTGAGCCCTAACTTTAGGTTCCACTATTTCCGTCAGCAATGACTTATCAGACTGAAGGTACTCACGAAAGGCCAGCGCAAAGAATGCAGTTAACCCAGAGGAAAGCTATACAGAGACTGTGTGAGCAGCTGGGGCCTGTGGGCTTCCTGGGAGGGGCGTACCTTATCTGATTTTCATCTTCGTCCACCAGGAAGAACCAATGGAATTTGACAACCAAGGGGCTGCAGTTGGTGATGTTGATGTAGCGAATGACCTCGGTATCATTCAGGATGCAGCCGAAATCCACCTCCATCATCTCGAAGCTGAGGTTGGGGTAATGCACTTCTCCACGCAAGCTCAGGTTGTCCACCTGAGGGTGCTCTATATACTTAATGGACAGCATCTCCTCTGCCACCCAGTTGTTCAGGTCATTTCTGTAGGAGGGGTCAAACTTGACCAGCAGGCTTTTCTCCTCATTGACTTCCAGTTTTATAGGCTATGAACAAGATAACACGAAGTTACCAACTCCTATACTTTGAAAGTACGCAGGACAGTCAAAATCCTGTACATCCACAATTTTATACACACACACATACATTCATGCATATTTCTATAAACACATGCCTATGAATAATTAGCAGCTATTGGTTGGGTTTAAAAATTATTTTGTCTCTCCGGGTAATGCCTGGGGGGCACTCACCAACCTAAGACAGAGCACCTGTGTGGCCTGGGCAGGCGTCTCCATGACGGGTAAGGTGACCTGCTGATGTCCCATGCAACCCAAGTCAGAAGCTCATTTTTTAATAAAAGGGGGACCTGCAGGGCCCTGGCCCCCGTTTTGGGTAACTGTTGCCTTGCTTGTGGACCTTGACCTTGATATCCTCCCTATGCTAATTCCCTGCCAGGTTCCACCCTCCTGAATGCTTAAGGGAAGTTCCTTGTCTGTGTATCCTGAATAATGGGCGTTAACAGCTTAGATGCAAGATTGTAAAACATCAGTAGCGAACTTCTGCTCTCTAGGGTCCTCCCATTATGCTGTAAGCCTGTATTTAAGACCTCCTCCCCACTTCAAGAAATGACATTCGGCATTTAAAATTTAAATATATA